CAGCAGTGCGTTGTGCAGCAAACACCACTATGAAACGTGAAATAAACATGATCGACAATCTCGAGTTTGCCAAGCCACGCATTGACTGAGCAAATTTGCAAAAGTACACTGACGCGTTTCATGTTATGCGGTTCATGTATGATACGCAATTTCTGTCATTGAATGTACTCTCACATTGTACCTATATGCCGACGAGGTTATGATAAAACAATCTATTTCTGAAATACGTATCTCGAGATGCACCTTTCGATTCACTTCCGGGATCCTGACAGCAAAATGCTAATTCCAGCGTATAACAGGCATATTTTAGTTGGACCTCAGGATAAAATGTGAAATATTTTCTGTATTAGATACAGAGGATACCATTTTTTGTTTGTTTGAAATGTCCATCAGTGAAATGCACAACATGCTGTCTGTTCCCTATCAGCTGATGCGACTCACACTGCATGGAGCTATGCTCTCAAAGCCTCGTTTTCGATCCAAGATGGCGAAAGTGTGAAAAAGGTCAACATATCATAACAGGACAGATATTTAATACACTGGATAATCGAGGTGTCATAATGTAGAACAAATACTGTGGTGTCTGAGAGGAAATACGGTATGTTCAGCACTGCAGGACTAGTGGAGCCGGTCCAGGCTGACAGGAGTTAAGTGCTCCCATTAACATACGGCCTTATCATATTGATGTGCTATGCATGTTCTACAATCTCATAAGGTATAACTTTTTATAGCATGCCTTTCACTGACATATATTGTGGGGCACTGCTGTTTGTGGGGCAGAGGATATAGGAACGGAGTTTGTCTGTCCTTCCATCCTCCCATCCTTCCATCCATCCACCTGCCCACCTGCCCGCCTGCCTGCTTCTCAAAGGGGACAAATTTTCTCAAAAACTATTTAAGTCCAAGAAAAAAACTATTTAAGTCCGAGAAATGAAATTTTAAAATGATGTTACTGGTCATTATAGCTCATCTCAGAGATACTCATCAAGACAGTTGTTTTTGCCAAAGAAGGGCCTTTTGTGGGTATTAATTTCACATTAAATTATTTTATTTTATGACAAAAAGAGGCCCAAGACCTATCTCTTCTTGAGGCTTACAGGACTCTTTTTTTATAGTTTATATTCACTACTATATAAACAAACAACATTCTAATGTGCCCCATGGCAGGGGATGGTGATAATGCTGTTGTTTTTCGTGTTATACATGTCATTGATCATGAAAATATTAAGGGACTGGTCATTTATTGGGAGGGGGTGAACTGGTCTTAGGAATATATCACATTTTACTCACCCCTCAACCATTATCATCCCCCTCCCATTACATGCCATATTTTTCCATACCCCCCTCCCTATAATAAATGTCCAGTCCATAATAATAGTTCAAATTTATACTCTTTTTTTTTTTTATTTTGAAAAAATAGAACTGTCTAATTTTCACATGCCCCCCACGCCATAGTTGTGATAAATTTTGGTGACCCCCCCCCCCCCCCCCCCTTTCATTGTGCCATTTTGTTATCACCCAACCAATTATTTCACAAACACAGACACACACACACACATTCACCATAACAAATTACCAATCCCTAAAACAAACTTCCTATCTTTTTTGGGGTCAGATTTTGATCAGTTTGTAAGGAACTGTTTATTTGGTCAGCAGCAAAAAAATGTTTTCCAATTTGAAAAAAATATAAAAATATAAAAACACAACAACAATGTGTCCACACATAATCACAGCTTTATTCCTGGGGGGGCACGGCTGGCCCAGTCGTCTAAGGTGCCGCGATTCACTGTGCAGAGTTGCGTCCCTTGGGCATGCCAGGAACTTATGATTGTGGGTTCGAATCCCGGTTCACCCCAATTATGTATCTAGGTTTGCCGGCACCATACCTGTGCTCGTGGGTTTCACCGAAGTGGTAAACGTCTGAGACCTGCATCACTTCGGGCTTTCCACCCACATTAAGCTGACATGACGTGATATAACTGGAATACTGTTAAAAGCAGCGTTAAACCCAACTCACTCACTCACTCACTTTATTCCTGGAATCCACATAATTGTTTCAACCACTGAGTATTTGCTCACAAATTATAATTCACACTGGACATTGAAAGTTTTGAGGGTATTCAATATATTTTTATGTTGGTATGTCCTGCAATTGATCAGTTCACAAATATCTGTAAAGACAGCCACACAAGTTGAAAAGGATACAGGGATTAATAATTAATAACGATGAGTTGTGCGATCTACCGATACGTTCACATACGATTTCGCCAAAATTATTGTAAACATTATTAAAATTATTGAATGAAATATTGAATAAAATTAATCAAATGTATTGCAAACTTTAGTCCAGATAAACAATGAAAATTTTTTTTTAATTACCAGATATTATAATGATAGGATTAAATTGCGTACTTCAGTTCGGATTTGTTGACTGGTATTTCCGGTGTTACGTGATCGCAGTGATCAGCTGATTAGTTTTTTGTGAGGGGGGGAAACATTGTGTCATTGGAAAACTTGAGTTTATTAAAAATGTTAGTAAATTTTTGGGGCCATGCTTTACCGCGCGCTATAACCGAAGCGCTCAATAACGAGGGAACACTGTACGTAACAACTTGAAATGTGTGTGAAAAGTCGTACAAAAATGCGCTATTTGAAGGGGACGTGGTCTAAATGCAAATGTCCGATTGGGATTTTCAATTTTCCTGACCCCTGGATTAATTATGCAGAGTGTTGCTATACTATTGGACTTTTTACAATTGTCAAATGTATTTGCACCCAAACAACTAAAAATTAATTGGGAAATCGTGATACTTTTTGCATATTTGATGAAAATACGTTCTGTCCTGATGAGTTCTGTTTGTAGAATAACTTACTTTCAAAGTGTCACTAAAACATCTAGTTTGTCCTACATCCTGGGTAACATGGCTAATAGGTAAGCTGTTTTTTATCTCTACGCTATCAGTTTACGATCAAGCCAAGCTGTTGTTGTCGTATCGTATATCAAGGAGCTTGGTGCATTCTAAAATATTTGATTTCATCACTTGTATGTCCATAACACATGTATGTCCTGTCTTTCGCATCACACAACTTTACTATGCTTGTAATCATATCTTCTGGAAGGAGAACAGAGTTTATCCAATAAATTAATCTGCCCAAGTATAGTAAAAAAATAACTTCTCCCCTTTTGCATAAAACAATATTTGAATAATCTGGAATGTTTGATATGTTTTGAATCCCAGAAATATAATTTGACTCACCTGAACTTTAATAGTCATTCATTTTTGTACAGCATACCATATCATTCCGACCTCATTCAAATCAGGTTTCTTACTCTGATGTGATTCCTCTCTCAGTGACAGTGAGTATCATACTTATGTATATCAGTATTTCTGTTCTATTTTGTTGTTAGAAGTACTTCAATACACTGTCTAAATATAATTCTTTTCTCTAAAACAGAACCTAAAACCGAAATACCTCATCATCCCAAGCAAGTCTACAATGCTTTGGCAAGTCTAGATTTCTTCAGTTTTAATTGAAAATGAAATCGTTCTCTGGGCTCCTTTCTATTATGTATTAAAGTTTCAGTTTGCATTGTTTAACGCTTCACCCAGCAATATTCCAGCTATATGACGGCAGTCTGTAAATAATCGAGTCTGGACCAGACAATCCAGTGATTGACATCATGAGCATCGATTCACGCAATTGGGATGCAATGACATGCATGAACCAAGTCAGCGAGCCTGACCACCCGATCCCGTTATTTGCCTTTTACGACAAGCATAGGTTGCTGAAGACCTATTCTACCCCTGCTCTTCACGGGTCCTATCATATATTAAAGGACAACTTAACTGGACATTATAAGTTATTATACACAGGTACATGTTTATATTGCCCAGTGCTTCTTGATATCATTTATCTAATACTTCAATACAACTCTTATTGATTTGTATTTTAATGTCCCTTATCTTACATCTAGCCATCTGTTATGTGTACTTGATGAACTTCATATTATTATTCATATTCATCATGGTTCATGTCTAGTGTATTACCATTTGCACCTGAAATGTTTTGTGTGGAATTGTCATGTGTTGTTTTATATTAGTATTATATCATGATCTGTGTATTTATATTAAATTACAGAAAAGGTAATAAATTATCATCATTATAAAAAAAACACTTGAAATATTTCATTTGCTTTACAATATCTCATAAAAAAATTCAAGTTCACATTTTCAGCCTGCAATCATCATCATCATCATCATCATTATAAAAAAAAAACTATTAAAATATTTCATTTGTTTTACAATATCTCATAAAAAATAAAATAAACAAATTCTTGTTTTCAGCATGAAATCATCATCATTATTACTATATAAAAACTCTTGAAATATTTCATTTGCTTTACAATATCTGATAAACAAAAATATAAAGTAAACAAGTTCATGTTTCAGTCCACATTCAATAACAGATGACCTGGCCTGGACAATCCCTGATTTGGTATGCTGTAAGGACAGCCTTTAGCTGACAGCTCTGACTCACAGTGTGTATAGAAATATATGCCATGTTTTGTGTACATCTATACACATGTCATTCATAGTATGAATGGTGATATTCTTGCGAACGCAAACAAAATAAAGGCTGTCAGTAGCAGTCACGCGTCGATTTGAGATTTTTGACTGTTGCTATCTTTGCAGCAAACACGACCTAACCTAAATCAAGCTTATCTTTGTTGTAATTTTAGATACATGACTGATTATTATCTATATGATTGGTGAAATAAATACTATGCATTCACATCTAAATGACAATATTAGAGATATGATTTCCGTCCGTATCTATTCTTGATTACGGCCATTAAACAATGTCAAACATTTACCGTTCAATAATATCTTTCATCACGTGCAGCAGCTCAACCGTTCGTGTTTAAGCCTGTTATAAATAATGTTTAAGATACCAGTGCGATTATGGTATAAACGAAAAAAAACCATCCGTCAACCTACCGCTGGTCGCTTCCATTCAAAACGGTAAGGCGGCTGTCTGCTGAAATACAAGGAACTGACGGCAGCAAGAAAGTTGGTGTCCTCGTATAACTTCCTGTTTCTCAAACACTGTTGACGAAGTCTCTCAAAATCACTGATGTCACGGGTGTCTCCGTTTCTGTGATGCACCTCCCTGGTTTCTGTGGGGTAGGGTCTCACCCCGGGGCTACCATTCTGTGGGGTGGGGCGCTGGTTGTACGGGGGGTTGGGAAGGCTGGTGTAGTCATCTGGTTTCGTGTAGCGACGGTGTGTATTCAAATCCATATTCGTTTCTCCTTGGTGGTTCTATCTCAAGAATAACTCCAAAACATGATAACCCGCATACATGATCCACCGTATCACACGGCAGCGAGCAAGAGCAGTGCGTTGTCCCGTTATAACACACCTTCCGCTACGAGATTTATCTCCCGCCGTGTGCATAGAATACTATCTCACACCATATATCGTGATTGGCCACGAGCAATAGAACCTATCTATTCATTGGACCGCAGACAAACACTACGGCAGAATGAGTAACTTCACTTTTACACATGAATGGGCAATTGATTCGTCTTTTCATAAAGGGCTCTAGTCATGTTGGCTCGCTGGGAATCTACCTGTCAACAGCTGAGGGGTGGAAATGTGTGAAACATTATATAATAGTGTATCGCGTGAAGTAACAATCCCAGTTTTATGGCGTTTAACGAGCCCCGAAATATGCTACTTGTTTGATGCAATATTATATATTGGTTTCATAATAAATCATTTATACACCAGCTGGATGGCATTTAACCTATATTTTGTAATGTGCCTTAATTATACATGGGATGTGTATTGAGCTGCATTGATGTACGCACGCTATTAACACCACACATTCAATGCCGTGATAATTCTTAAGGAATTCAAATTGTGTATATTATGCGGTGGGATATCGATCGATATGCACGAATATTACCGCAAAATTGTTATAAATAGTTGGTTTGCACATCCTCGAAAATATGTATATATGGCGCCTCGCCTGCACGTGAATATCGGGTTCCGAAAAGTTGTGAATCGATTATGTGGAGAAACGACTGAACTTATACATCAGCATTTCAACGCCATGCTTCAAGTGATTTCTATTAAATATTTAAGAGATTCGAGGAAATTATTCAAATGTTTTATGCATTGCATCTGATTTGCGAAAGCACGTGAAACTTTTTCAGAATGATCTCATTATACTGGAAATGAACATGTATTAATTCCTTGACTTTCCAATAAAGCCTGTATAACCTTTACAATATGACCTTTTCATAACTTTATAAAATAAATTATTCTGATTACGTTATTTTTCGGAACATTTTTGAAACTATTTATGTTTGTCTGTTTATTGCTTAACGCCGCAATATTCCAGCTATATGACGGCAGTCTGTAAATAATCGAGTCTGGATCAGACAATCCAGTGATTGACATCATGAGCTTCGAACCACGCAATTTGGATACGATGACATGCATCAACCAAGTCAGCGAGCCTGACCACCCGATCCCATTATTCGCCTCTTACGACAAGCATAGTCGCTTTTTACGGCAAGCATGGGTTGCTGAAGACCTATTCTACCCCGGATCTTGTAATCATGTGAATGTATTGATATTTGTAAATAAATAATAGATATGATGTGGTTTCCATGATTTTAGTCTTCTCTCTGTATACACCGGTCACAGACCCGGGCATAGCTCGGAGCCGATCGCGATGAGTGCCCACTCGGCGGGGGGAGTGGGGTTGCTCGCCACACCGAAGATATGGGTTCGGTTCGATCCCCACATGGATACAATATGTCAAGCCCATGCATTGCTGGTGTCCCCCGCCGCGATAGTGATGGGAGATAATGCTGAAAAAAGGCGCAAACCTCCCTCCCTATCTCCCCCCCCCCCCCCCCTCCCCCCCCAATGCCATCAAAACCGAGGAACACGGTACCCGGAGGAGTGGAGTGAAAGTCTCGTCAAATTGCCTTTTTCCATTTCATTTGTTTGTTGATTGTCTGGTCCAGACTTAATTATTTACAGTCCGACGTGTCGTATCTGGAATATTGGCTAGAGAATAATAAACTGTCTATAAAAAATCTGGACCAGCAGACAATTCTGCGATTCACATCATGAACATCGATCCGATGACAAGCGATCAATCAACTCAATCAACTCAACGAGTCTGACCCGGTCAGTCGCCTCTTACGGCAAGCATGGGTTGCTGGGGCCAATATCTTACCCGGAATCCCTACCGGTGCTTCTGTACTTCTCTAATGATATGGCAACAAATATAACCTGATACTTAGCCATACCTTAAGGGAAGAACACAAAAGTCGCTAGGCATAATTTCCAATCTCATTAAAATCAGACCTGAGTTCTCGCTACCACTAAACAAAGCGGTAGCGAGAACTAAGATCTGATTTTAATGAGATTGGCATAATTTCAATTTGGATAACTTTTTAAAAATAAATTTTTAAAAAGTTTTAAAATATTTTTTTTTTAAATTCTCTAAAAACCTTATTCAGCCTAATTAAACACCACCCACTCTTAAGTCTCCAAAGAAAGTACATTGTACTTTTGTGTCATGTTCTTCTGAAAACTCGCAGGATTTTGATAAATAAAAATATAATCACGGTTACTTTTGTCTTTAAAAATATATGATGTAGGTGACTTAAAAATACTATGTGACTGAATGTTAATACAATTTTACTGCTAATATGTTGTACAATATATAAACGCGCTTCGGCGATGGATTCAACATAACTGTCATGCTGAACAGGCTTGTGCCGTTTTCGTTCTTACTGTAATGACAACGATGCAACATACTGACACTGATATTCATAAAAGACAATTTACACGTGCAACACGTGATCGTCTGTGCACAAGAAACACGTTATTGTCTGGCACTGTGTTCCCCATTCTATAATGAACTGTTCCGTGATGTAGTATTTCAAGGAGGTCAAGTAGTTGATAATAGTATTCTATTTCTCATTAGAAATATATTTTACAAGCGCTTCAACAACCATCAATACCATGGGTATTCCTTTTCGTATCTTTCGCAAGAAAAGGAACATTTTGGAAAAGGAAAAGCGACAATAATAATATAAAAAAATACCTTCAAGAACCATCGCAACGTTACATTGATAACACCGGGTATTCGCCAGGCGGGTTGGAGGGTGAGCAGGTATCCCACCACTGGTTTAACCCATTATGTTGTGAATAAAGTGGACTTTCTCCCATGCCTGCTACCTATATATTTAATGGAATGTACCATTAATAAGTGGACAGCTGACTGCAGAATAACGACAGGAGTCATATTTGATTAGGGGAAATCTGTTTACGATTGTCTCCCTTATATCGTAAAAACATTGCAGATACACAGAGAAAGTTTTATATGGGAACCTAGATCGGTATGTATGATGCGCGACTTGCTTCAGGCCTGTGTTTACTCTTCCTTTTAAGATTTAATCACACACACACACACACACACACACACACACACACACACACACACACATATATATATATATATATATATATATATATATATATATATATATATATATAAAGCACAGTAAAGTTGGAATGACCAATTAAAAGGCAGCTTTCTCGTGCTTTACGGCACTAATTTCAAATTGGCTACTACGCTTCGAAACATAATTTGACAAATTCTCGATTACAAATTTGAAACCTGAACAAAAGAACATTCTGGAATGGCTAATAGATGGGTCTAGATTGTATAGATTCAGTCGTTAAATCCGTAACTATCGTTCCGAGTTAAAGTTTTCGAGGTTGCATGATTGGAAATCACATTCCGACTGTCACTTTCATGATCTGGTAAGCGATGCTCTGTTTGGTCGTTCTGACGGTACACCTAATGGGATGTCTTCAGATCTTTGTTTAGCGGTAGCGAGAACTGAGGTCTGATCTTAATGAGATTGGCCATTTACAAAACGCCAAAATATTTCAGACAATTTACAATTATTTAGAATTTCCAAAGGGCTTAAAAACATCACAATAGACTAGTTATGCTGGAAACAGAAGCAACAAAAATGATAAAAACTTGTGTGAAAAATGATTGTGTCTATCGGGAGTTAAGCAGGCTTTGCACAGTGAAGATGCACCGTGCTAAGGGTGCCTCCATTTGAATGACAAGCTGATGCCAAATATAGTCTCGCCCGCACATGATCTTGTAACACAATATCTAATAGAGGCGATCACTTCACGGTTGAGTGATAAACGGCATTATCTGAACAGGACGCGATGCAGTGGGGGATCCAGGATTCTGAAAAAGGTGGGGTGCACAATACTCCCACGTCACGAAGTGTCTGAAACTGTACGCCAGTGGAGGCTCGAGGGAGGGGCATGGCGGGTTTTAATGACTAATGAATCAGATGGTCAGGCTGACCTTATGTACAGGATATTATCTAAACATGATACGAGAGTAATGAGGGGTTTAACTGACAGGTGTATGTCGTACAAAACATGTACTAGTATACCTTCCATATCACTATATAATATTAAGTAAGTATTACACAACATTTTTTATTTTTTATACTTTTTATTTTTTTGACATAATTTATTCAAGTTAATTGTCCACGATTTTACATGGCCCTGTACATTGCCACGTGGACTGGCATACCAGGGTTTATATTTTTATATTTGGGTTTGAGTTGCTTAAAGCAATAATACTCATCTAATTATTCAGTTACACAACATTTGCGTCTGCTAGTGGATGGTGCAATGATGTTCCAACTTCCCCTGTGGCTAAATACATCTAGATCTACGTTTGTTTGTTGTTTAACGCCTCACTCAGCAATATTTCAGCTATATGATGGCGGTCTGTAAATGTTCGAGTCTGGACCAGACAATCCAATTATTGACATCATGATCATCGATCCCTGCAATTGGGATGCGATGACATGCACCAACCAAGTCCCGTTACGACAAGCATGGGTTGCTGAAGACCTATTCTACTCCGGATCTTCGCGGGTGCTAGATCTAATATCGCAGTACTATATGAGGGCAGATTGTGTGTCATCGTACTCCGATGGAGTGGATTGTTACTCACAATATCGATCACTGGATTGTCAGGTCCAGACTTGACCGCCATAAAGTGAACATTGCTATTTTAGTTCAATAATCTTAAACGCAATGTTTAACTCCATTTCACCTCACCTTTATAAAAAGAAGAAACAAAGTGGATATTTGTTTGGTGATCTGAAAAAAGGCCCACTTGATTTGATGGAATTATATTACATGTTTGACAAACAATTCCATTTGAACGTGATGAGGCCATATATAGAGAGATAAACCCCTTACGGATGTGCGTCTCGCAGATATAATGACTCACGTTTGTTTATGCTGAAATTAAGGGGTGACTGTGTACATAGTTTGTTGACTATAATATCGAGTGTCATGAGAGTTTTTAAAAACAAATACCTCTGACAGGTAAGTACTGTCACTGTTTGGCACAAGGGCCAAAGCTTAGGGAAACATAAGATAATGCTTTGTCTAAATTTGGGTTATTTTTTTTAACAAAATATTTCTCTTAAATGAAGTCTTATCGGGGTCATACACATATTATATTCATGTCAGTATGGTGTGAGGCACAACTATTTTCACAAAGCAATATTTATTTCAGAAGTTATCGATGGACAACAGAAGGTCAGTGAGTTATTGTTGTTTTTCGCCGTACGCATCAAAACATGGCGGTGTGGGTCAGCAAAACCGATGGTTGGCAGCACGAGGCACGAAATGCGCTGGCAGGGTATACGATGACGCACAATCCAGGGTATACGATGACGCACATTCCAGGTCACACGATGACGTCAAACCCACCCAATCCCCATTGCTCTTACAATATTGCAAGGGTTACATCGTTGAATATTTGATAGGTTCCGTGAACAGTATATGTGTGTGAGAGATTTTATTGCCTAACGATATTACTGTCATTTTAATCTAGGTGATAGGTCTCGTGATATTGAGCTATTGAATACCAAAGGTTTCTAGGTGTGAATACGACCATGACATGAAAATAACAACTAAATATGGTCTAGGAAAATAATTAGACACGAGAACGAGTGTAGCACAATACAGTTTAATTGTTTGATAGGCATCTCTTAGAAGTTGAAGGAGGACAAAGTAGACACAATTTATGGATAACAATTTTTTTACTTAACTGTAATAGCGACGTTTCGGTATAGATCCTTATACCGTTGTCAAGCAAGGCTGAATAATGAACATGGTACGGAATATAATTATATAGCTCGTAGGGGGAGGAGTACAACTATACATTGTTTAAAAAATCTCATATACCATGCCTGCTGTACTGTTTGTATAACAACTTATCATAAATATATGGGAGTCGGTTAAGTACATGCCTAAACGTTGACTGAATGTTTAATGTTGTCTCACTTTTTTATGAACATGATGAGATTAAGGGGGCGGGTCATGTAAAAGTGACAGCGAAAGAGGGGGTTGCCGAAATTTATCACCACTATAATGAAAACGTTATAAATATAAATTTGAACATTATTTAGGGGCTGGTCATTTATTAATGTGTCATGGAAAAAAATGAGGGTTTCAGCAAAATATGTCACAGTCCTAAGACGAATCCCAAGCCCTAATGTGAATAAAAGCGAACAGCGTTTGGGATGTACCAATCTAAATCGTATTTATAATATCAGATTATTTCGTACTTTTTAAAAATTGAAATTTCAAATATTCTGGCTATTTTTTGTGGCCTACGTAAAACCTTTATATCCTGACAGAAGTTTGAGTAATTCGCTTGATGACGTAACACTGCAACAGCGCTTACTCGGTTGTCTTTGCGATGTGAGCAGAAATAATCAGCTTGTAATGCATTGCAACATTGTGTTCAAAGTGGGATTATTCCATTCACACGCCGCGCGGCTTTTACGCATTTATTACAAACCATTGTGTCAGAAATCCATCATTAGCAGTAGTTTAGCATTTCCCCTGACCATTCCACGGTTCGATGACTCCCCGCCGCTCGGTCTGCCTTATACGGTCTGGCCTTGCAAGACAGCAACCGCGTGGACACGCCCATTGTGCCAGCGCCGGCTTTTGGTCGCCGGGACAGGTGTATGACACAGTCCGCAATCACGTTGATACGGAAAGAAACAGCGTGGCAATAGATTTCCTGGTCAAGCATAACATCAGACCAGCTTTAGGCATACACTGAACGAACCCTCATATATTTATCATAAGTTGTTGAAGGTTCTGCATTAATCGAAGAGCATCGAGTTTCAGTCCTGCCACCCCTGCTCTTGGACTCTCCCACTCCAGATCTGAGAAGCCGGTAGTCGAGAGTGATCCCAACGGATACCGTGTTCTAGCTTTGTCAACACTACAGTCAGTCCTCCAGTGTCGCTGTGCTTTCATCAACTTCATAATTTACATATCAATAGTTTGATAAAGTAAACAGAGTAAATATGTTCAGCAGCGGCACACGCACGGTGCGAACATTTTTCTCAGATGGATCGGGACCCCCGAAGATGGACACGAAAACGTACTCGTTCGGAGGAGATGGTGGTCCAAGCGTTGGCATGGGAGGTGGAGAGTTCAACATTGGCTTTGGAAGTTCCTTTGGGGACCGGGGGATGCGTTTTAGCCAAGGGGGTGATGCTGGGGGTGGTGGCAGCTCATCGGGAGGATTTTCCATCCCCGGGGGATACCGCTTCTCGGGCTTTACCCAGGGTGGGGGAGGGCAGGGGGGTCACGGCCGTCACTGCAGCCGAGAGCCAGATATCGGTGGAAGGGCTACTAGAAAAGAAAAGAAGAACCCCTTTGCGGGTGTTGTCAACCAAAAATACGCTGATATAAAGGCAAAGTGTTTGCAAGAAGGAATACTGTTCGAGGACCCCGAGTTTCCGACAGTCGATTCATCAATATTCTTCAGCCGTGCACCCCCAAGGCCATTTGAGTGGAAAAGACCGACGGTATGTTGTTTCAATGTTTATTTTTATTGCAGATCATCATAATTATTATGCACGTACAATTATCACTTAAAAATCTGTCAAATTTATACTGGTGGCCATGCATTTATCAGCCGTACATAGGCTAGTCGTGTTTTGCATGGCGATTACCGACTATAAACATGATAAATATACCCCTGACTGTTATAATAGCCTCAACGAGCGACTGTATATTTTCACTAATCGTCATTCCATTCAAAATGTTACCATAGTAATCAACTGTATCAAAGCAAACCTTTGTTGACATTATTTCATGCACAATTTTTGCTTTTCTAAGAGGGTTTTAACATTGTGAAAATGTACGTTTTTCTAGGAGGGTTAAACATTGTGAAAATGAACATTAACCCAATTCAAACATTAAGGTGTCCTTGACGAAGTACTAACGTGGGGAGAATCTTTAGAATTTGTCAGTTTGCAGCTATAAGGGAACAAACCCCACAATGTTTACAACTGAAAACTAATCAATTATATATTTCTACATTAAGATACTGTAGTATACTCCCCAGGGAGCTTAGAATGAAAATCGAGTGCACACTGATCCAATGACCGTGGGTAATAAGCATCCACTTGGTGAATGAAATTTGATGAATTATAAATGCACATTATTATACTTACACTGAGATAATTATCGACAGGTGATATTGGTTAAAGAATCAGAATGGTTGTATTGTGGTATGAATGCAGGTTTTTATAGGTTTTTTATCTGTGCACTAGATTGTAAATATTTGATCATGAACTATTTCAATGAGATAACGGATGATATAAATCATGTTGGTATTAGCTGAGCTTGGCAACACATTACTGGCAGCTGATCTATGGGTTGTATTACCTGTTATCCACTGACGGCTAGAACATTTTAACTTGTGTCAACTCATCGTTGTTCTGTTATAGTCCCCAATGTTCCCTGAATGTGTTGGTCTGGTCTGGGTTGTTGTTTAACGCCGCACTCAGCAATATTCCAGCTATATAACGGCGGTCTGTAAATAATCGAATCTGGACCAGACAATCCAGTGATTGATATCATGAGCATCGATCCACGCTATTGGGATCAATGACATGCATCAACCAAGTCAGCGAGCCTGACCACCCGATCCCGTTAGTCGCTTCTTACGACAAGCATAGTCACCTTTTACAGCAAGCATGGGTTGCTGAAGACCTATTCTACCCGGCTCTTCACGGGCCCCTGAATGTGTTAATGTGTGTATCATGTGTATTGGAAGGAAACAGTTTCCTGAGGAAAATTATAATAAGCTGATATTTATGATATGCATTATGAAGCAGAGTCTGTCACATTGTTGAATATATTTGATCCAAGTCAATTACCCAGGCCATGTGGTGTATTCAAACTGTATCCTTGATATGAATCACTTTGGCCATATTGTCTCCAGGGGTTATTGTGTACAATTGTTTATTGGACATTTGGTTAATTGGTCATCAGGTATTGAACTATACCATGTATATTGCATTAGATAACGGTTTTATGAGTTTAAATTAAAACGTTCAAGCACAAAGTTGCATGCGGATCGATAAGATTTGTGTTCAACTTCCTGTGTAAACACTTTTTGAGCTTGATGAGAGTATTGCTGGTTGAAAGAGATTCTATTCTTGATGCAGTCTACTTTTAGACTTTGAAACCGTATTTCATTGCTTGTCAGGCATATCTTGAAGTACAGCTTTCTGGCTCAACTCACAAGATGATTCTGACTCTACTCACAAGATGATTCTGACTTGACCTTGAACCTTCACCTTGTGGGACTATGCTTCCCACAGCCTACTAAATACCTTAATGATTACCAGGTGTAAAAATGAAGTCTGTTGCCATGGCGATACACTGGTTATCAAGCCTTGGATGTTTTCAGTAAAGCGAGACACATATTTTTGTTTATTAATGACAGCACACAGCGCTTATGATGGGGCTATTTGGCAACAAGACAGTACTTTGTTACAGTGCCAGGAGTTTGTATCATGTGACACATAAAGCAGACAAGATTGCCTTATAAAGATGGATTCTTCAACCTGTCAAGTGCACTAGGCATGGCGTATGGTCTGCCAGGACAGTGAGACTACCATGGATTCTTCAACCTGTCAAGTGCACTAGGCATGGCATATGGTCTGCCAGGACAGTGAGAGACTACCATGGATTCTCCAACCTGTCAAGTGCACTAGGCATGGCGTATTGTCTGCCAGGACAGTGAGAGACTACCATGGATTCTCCAACCTGTCAAGTGCACTAGGCATGGCGTATTGTCTGCCAGGACAGTGAGAGACTACCATGGATTCTCCAACCTGTCAAGTGCACTAGGCATGGCGTATGGTCTGCCAGGACAGTGAGACTACCATGGATTCTTCAACCTGTCAAGTGCACTAGGCATGGCGTATTGTCTGCCAGGACAGTGAGAGACTACCATGGATTCTCCAACCTGTCAAGTGCACTAGGCATGGCGTATGGTCTGCCAGGACAGTGAGACTACCATGGATTCTCCAACCTGTCAAGTGCACTAGGCATGGCGTATGGTCTGCCAGGACAGTGAGAGACTACCATGGATTCTCCAACCTGTCAAGTGCACTAGGCATGGCGTATGGTCTGCCAGGACAGTGAGAGACTACCATGGATTCTTCAACCTGTCAAGTGCTCTAGGCATAGCGTATGGTCTGCCAGGACAGTGAGAGACTACCACGGATTCTCCAACCTGTCAAGTGCACTAGGCATGGCATATGGTCTGCCAGGACAGTGAGACTACCACGGATTCTCCAACCTGTCAAGTGCACTAGGCATGGCGTATGGTCTGCCAGGACAGTGAGACTACCACGGAGTCTCCAACCTGTCAAGTGCACTAGGCATGGCATATGGTCTGCCAGGACAGTGAGACTACCATGGATTCTCCAACCTGTCAAGTGCACTAGGCATGGCGTATGGTCTGCCAGGACAGTGAGAGACTACCATGGAGTCTCTGAAATGAATATTTTACAGTAAAACAGTTGTTGAATTATTTTAATGAAATATAATAAAAAGTAGCCGAGAGACTCTCCACAGTTTCAGAAACTGCAGTAATTATAGACTTGCATGGGCTGTATTGGATATAATTGTTTCAGGGTCGTTTTGACAGATTACAAAAGTGCTAGCAGGATTAGTCAGGTGGTATAGTGATATAGGTCTTGTATGTCTGCACTAGTCAACTTAATACTGTTCTGCAATTCTCATTGATACAAAAAACTGTTGGAAAAAAGGTAATACAATGTTTCTCATTGTACATCTGATAAGCTTATTTTCAGATGGGCAGGTCTTTTCCTTTTTTGACAGTAAGCAGACCTTGGTGGTGTGGGCAAGGACAGATAACTCTCTCCTTAAAATCCTCACATTCCATGAACCAGTGTTGAGGCCAGATTATTTACTTAAAAAAACTGATTGATTGATTTTTGCATGGCATGTTTTAGATGACACATCTTCTTCATATTGACTCTTCATTGACTTCAATGTCAAGACCGCCTCCGTGGTCTAGTGGTAGAGCGTCCACCTGGAGCGGAAGGTCCGGGGTTCGATCCCCGGCCACAGCATACCAAAAGACGTTAAAAGATGGTACTGATTGTTACCCTGTCTGGCGCTCGGCATTAAGGGGCTAAAAACAAGGACTGGTAGGCTCGGAGTCAGTATACTGTGTCTGAGTTGGGTATTAATGTTAAACTGCGGCATGGTATCTCAGTGAGCTAGCACTATAAATCGGCATCAGTCCAGACTAGTACAAGCAGCCACACACACACACGAGCATGCACGTCGCTATATAAGTGCAATAATCTTGGACGTGACGTTAAACCCCATTTCACCTCACCACCTTAAATGTCAATTTTGTAACTGTGTGTTTTGTGCCATTTTAAGTCTTTGCAGGATGTGGAGAATGTACATGTTATTTGGAGATATTAAATTAACCTCAGTTCATCTGTCATACACACTGAATAAAGTTAAATTCGTATTTAAAAAATTAATGTAAGTAACATCAAACAAAGAATTTGCATTTGTAAACATATTTTGGATTGAAGAAAATCCTGGTTGGTCCACATTGTAAAGATGGCCTGTGTGGATATATGCCACACAAACTTGTGTCTGTCCAAGTTCCTGATATGCAACAGTAGCTGGAGTGTCTGTCCCTGTGTATGCTAGAGCTTAGGGAGGCTGATGTCATGGTACAAGCGTCTGTGGTATGGAGATACCCTCATCTGCTAATTGCTGTGAGTGGTGTTGTATTTCAGTACATAAACTGGCAGTCAGCTGACAGAACGCTATGATAAGGAATTGTTACATCAGATGACTGACAGATTTCACTGATCAGTTTATACCCGAGTGAGTATTCTTGGTTACAATAGTACCCTCTCCCCAGAGAGAGAGGTTGGTCATCAGTCACCTGTTTGCCTGGTCCAGACTTGAATATTTTCAGGCTGCTGACATTGAACTGGAATTGCAAAGTCTTGTGATTGAGTCTCGACCTCACAAACCAGGGATTGATATTGTGAGCAACGTCCTACGCTGTTGGGGTAATGACTCACTATCATTCAAGTCACCTGACCTGACCACACGATCCATTAAGTCACACTTTGCGACAAACATAGCATACTGGGGATAACTTCTAATCCGGAACACCACAGGTGATCAAGCAGTATGCAGCTAACCGAATAACAATGTAAACTCCGTTTTTGCTTACAAAATGTGCATACTCAAGACAGCATACCAAGTGTTTTCAGTTCAATTAAGGAATACAAGGAAGGTATTTGTTCATGGTGTTATGACTCACTTCATAAAAATCAAAAAGGTTTGCTTAAACAAGTGCTTACTCTGTATCTCATCTCCCCCATTGTTAGTATGCACTATTCAAATATTATTATAGCGATCTGAGTACATGCTGAGTTTAGTTGACAATGTGAAGCAAGGTGTTCACCAGGGTTCAAGCGAGTCTCCATGTTGCTTTTACTTA